ATGAGAGGACTCACACTGGTGAGAAACCATATCAATGCAATATATGTGGGAAAGCCTTCAACAGAAGCTATAACTTTGGACTGCATAAGAGAGTTCACACTGGAGAGAAACCATACAAATGTTATCTATGTGAAAAAGCCTTCAGTAAATATTTTAACCTTAGACAGCATGAGAAAACTCACACTGTAAAGGTTATAAATGTGGAAGATTCACTACCCGTTGATTCAGACTCTAAACACCCTTAAAGGGCTCACATGTTGGGGGGAAAAGCAGTTTGTAATCCATGTGGAAGAGCCTTTATTCATCCTTACTTCATTCAATTGAAGTTAAATAAATATGGGGAGAATCCATATGTATGGCAGCCACTTGACAAACTCTGTACACAGTGGGCTGACTTAGAGAAAAACTTAAAGCAGCGAATGTGTTGGGATCTGTATTACACAGTTCTGTTTTAAAAAATGCCCTGGTTGCCCTAACCGGTTTGGCTCAGTGACTAGAGCGTCGGTCTGCAGACTGAAGGGTCCCAGGTTCGATTCTGGTCAAGGGCATGTACCTTGGTTGCGGGCACCTCTCCAGTAGGAGGTGTGCAGGAGGCAGCTGATCGATGTTTCTCTCTCATTGATGTTTCTAACTCTCTATCCCTCTCCCTTCCTCTCTGTAAAAAATCAATAAAATATATATTTTAAAAAAAATGCCCTGGTGGATGGAGTTAGAGGGGCATGGTGCCAGCAGTGTGGCAGGGGGTGAGCTGGCAGAGTGGGAGACTGCAGTGAGGCAAGGGCTGGGGAACTGTTGTGAGGAGGTGGGGGCCTGCAGGACCTCAGTACAGCAGGATCTGGACTCCTGCCTAGACCAGGGGGCACTGCTGGCTAGAGCCACTGTCACCACCCACATGGTGGCAGGGATTTCGGAGCACTGTGATGTACCCCATCAGCTGCATCACTGAGTGACTTGGACTGGCTCTGAGTCTGACCTGGGGCTGACCTGACCTCTGGTTCCTGTCCTCCGTCAGGACTCAGTCTGAGAGCTGGAGACCACATGAGTTCCTTCCTGGCTCCTGCCATCACCACGCAATTTGAATGATACTCCATGCCAGCAAGGTCTGGGCTGGAAGTTGATCTACATCAGGATCCAGAACCCATTTCTAAACATCAGTGAGATCTTAAGACTCTGGAATGGGAATCTATTAGCCCAAGTACTTGATATGAGCTGGGACTAAACAGGAACAGGGTGGGATGGGATGAGAATAAGTACTATCTTGATTAAGGTGAAGCCAACTGGCATGAAGCAGACCCTTAGTGGCCTGAGATGGTCTCTGAGCAAGTGCTTTTATAAGCTTCTTGCTGTGTTTTGCCTTAAGAGTGATGAGGCAGGAACCAGAATCTGGGGTTTCTCAGCTAGACAAAAGATTTAGTTATCTAACCCAGTGGTCGGCAAACTCATTAGTCAACAGAGCCAAATATCAAAAGTATAACGACTGAAATTTCTTTTGAGAGCCAAATTTTTTAAACTTAAACTATATAGGTAGGTACATTGTTATTAACTTAATTAGGGTACTCCTAAGGCTTAGGAAGAGCCACACTCAAGGGGCCAAAGAGCCACATGTGGCTCACGAGCCGCAGTTTGCCAACCACGGATCTAACCCATGAATGAATGGACGAATCAGATCAGAGGAAGTCTATGTATGTAATCAGTGCAGGAATGCCTCTGTTTATCATTTATCCTTTACACAAATTAGCAAACTGCAGAGGAGAAAAATTCTAGCTCTGTAATCATTGTGCACTATTCTACTTAGCACCAGTCTTGGTGTGCACAAAATAATGTATTGTCAGTTAACTGCTAAAACAAGAAATAAATGGAAAAAATCCAATAGCAGGAGGGCAAAGCCTCTTTAAGATTAGCAGATAATCTGGAAAATTCTATGGAAAGTGGTAAGATGTTACTTATTAATCAGCACTTGTAAAGCAGGTGAGGATTCACATTATTGAATACTCAGTGTAACAAATGATGGAGTCTTCAGTGACTTCTCATTGCTTAGCCCTGGTTATCTCACTGAGAAAGGGGATAAACTTTTAGATGGATTTCACATTAGAAATTTTAGACTGGCTAAAATTATTGGACCATTAAGCAAACAATTCAGCAAAATATCCAGAATTTTACCAAAGACTTCTTCCTGAAAATGTAAGATAAAATTCACAATTGTGAAGCACTCTGGGAGTGTAGAATGCACAATTTTGGTAGAAATAATATGGTCAAACTAAAATGATTAGTTCTGAAAAAATGCAAGTATTGGTGGTAAAAATTAGGTTGGTTAAATTCGTTTGCTTACACTGGTATAAACACATGTATTTGGGTGAGTTATAAAATATTAAACGTGAGTTAAAATATAGAGGGTACAAAACCATATTCTAACTGTATTATTAATGTTATATGTATTGAAATTTTAAATGAAAGAATGGTTTACCTCTGTTTTTACATATAAAATGTTTACATCAGAATTTTGACACCCTAGCCACTTTAGTCTCAGTGGAGAGAGTGTCAGCCTGTGGACCCTTTGTCCTGGGTTCGATTCCAGTCAAGGGCACACTTTAGTTGCAGGTTTCTCCCCTGCCGGGGCACTGGTCAGGGTTTGTGCAGGAGGCAACCAATCCATGTGTTTCTCCCACATCAATGTTTCTCTTTGTCTTTCCTTCTCTCTCCCGCTCTCCCTCAAAATCAATGGCAAAATATCTTGTGGGTAGGATTAATTTTTTTTTTAAGAATTTTGATGATAATAATGACATAAAAATTCTCCACGATGAAAAACATGGAATCACATTAAAACCTTGATGGTTTCTCATAGGAACCTGCTTTAATTATCTGCACTTCCCTAATTTTTTGTGGATGCAATTGTATCAGACAACCACATGTAGATCCTTTGTCATGACCTGTCTCTTTTACCATGTGGTACTGCTGGCCCTGATGGAAATCACACCTTTTGTTCCTCTGCCTCGTATTTCTCCCTTATTGCTGAAGTGTGAGAAGCCCAGTGTCAAAGCTCACATAGGCATAGCCAGGCTCTCCTTTAATGCTTTCAGGGGGCATGTGGTTCTTACGTGATCTACATAGAGGTGTGTTTCCTTAGTGTGTGTGTGACTTAGAGGGTATAGGCCTTTATGGCCTCTGTGAAAGTGTTCACTATGGAAGGTCCACATGTGATTGAACATTGTTGTTTTACATGTCGTCGTTTAGACTGTGTGTTAAGGTTTGCCTGTGTTGAAAGGGTTGTGTGATAAGTGTTGGCTCAGTGTGTGTTGTCATTACCTTTCAGAGGGTGTGTGAGGTGAGAAGCATTGTCTACCAGGCATCAGTCAACAGTCATCACCCTTAGAGCACCCGTGGAGTCTCGCCCGTGGTCCCTGCCAGGATTAGAAGCGGGAGGGGCCAGGTAATCCAGGGTGTGAGTGGTTCCGAGGTTAGGGACCTGTGGATATCAGTGATTGTGGCACTGACTGGGGCTAATGATTAGGGACTGAGTCACAAAGATCTATGGTAGAAAGCCTGGTAAGTTTGTCAATTGAAGATGCTAAGTTCTCCACCAGTGGGGAGAACTAAAGCCACTTTGAAGCAACAATCCCAAGGCAAACGTGGGAGGAATGAGGGGCAGACCCAGAAATGCCTGGAGTAGGTCAGAGGAGGCATAAGCCTACTCATTCTGACCACACCTTTCAGGGTCCCACCCTACTAGGCCCTAATCTACTAGGCTGAAGCCCCGCCCTGCTTCTGCTCATTTCGGGGTGAGGCCCCTCTCTGGCCACACCCTTACTGACTCAGGCTTGTCTGCTGCCAAGCAAAGTGGAAAAAGCAGGGGGGCTCTCCTTGCCCATGGTGAAGAGTAAGAAGACTGAATGTTGCTAATGACTCATTATCTCTGCAAAGATTGGGTTGTCAACCAAGTGACATCAGATTCTATTTCATGAAATGATTGATCAGTTCAATGACTTTCTCAATTTGGCGGATCAACACCCATTGTGCATATTTACCCCTTAAGCCCCCTGCATCAGATTGTAGAATTGGAGAAGTTAATGGGAAATAAAAAGTAGATACTAATAGAGTTTATATATTTTAAGTTACTGTTTTGGTAGAAAACAGCATTGATAAGACTTGTACAATGGCAGTAGGGTGGAAGTAGCTGACCTCTAGTGTAAAGGAGGACTCACCAGACACCAAATGGCACAACATGGCCAACTACACTCTGATACACAGGGAAGGAGCTCTCTGGTCTCTTCTCCCAAAGTCTGCACACTCCAGCTTTTTTTGGATAAAGAAACATAAGGGAAAACCTAGTCACAGATGAATTTCATAGACTCACCCTAATCACACAAGCATTAAACATAGTACAGCGGTTCTCAACCTGTGGGTCGTGACCCCTTTGGCGGTTGAACGACCCTTTCACAGGGGTTGCCTAAGGCCATCCTGCATATCCGATATTTACGTTACGATTCATAACAGCAACATTACAGTTATGAAGTAGCAACAAAAATAATTTTATGGTTGGGTCACAACATGAGGAACTATTTAAAGGGCCAGAAGGTTGAGAACCACTGATAGTGCCTTCCCTGGGATATCCCCAGCCTTCATCTTGATTGGATTCAGCAAACAAAAAGTTAAACATCTGATTAAACAATGGAGAACAAGGCCATTTTCAAGGATAATTTGAAAATATTCTTCCTTTATACATGTTTGTTATTTCCGTTCACTTTTAGGAAACATACTTTTTAAAAGAATATATTGATTTCAGAAAGGGAGAGAGAAACATCAATGAGAATCATTGATCTGTCTCCTGCATGGCACCCCACTGGGGATCAAGACCACAACCCAGGCATGTGCCCTGACCAGGAATTGAACCATGACCTCCTGGTTCATAGGTAGACCCTCAACCACTGAGCCACACCGACTGGGCCAGGAAACATACCCTTTAATGAAATGTTGATCTAAATGCCAGCAACTTGAGATAGGAATTTGGGTGGTTGAGATTTTTTTTATTTAGAAAACATCTTATTCCTAATCTTTAACACACACCATACAAACATGTAGAGCTTCTGTAACATCACACAATTCCTGGGTACAGGAACAATAATAAGACGGTATTTTTAATGACTTTTTGATTTTCACAGAGAGGGAGAGAGATACGTCTAGATCTTTTAAGGAAACCTTTATGTCTCATCCTAATTTCTAATCCCTGGCTAGGCTCAGTGGCAAAAGATGAAAGTCTCTAAAGATGGTGCTTCACGGGAAATCACACCAGCGCTCCTGGCGCAGTCCGTCTCCTAGGACGGCCGTGTTACAAGCACCAGCCACCTGCAGCAGGGACATGTGGTGCGGCTCATCAGCCACTCGTCTATGCGGGCCACGTGGAACAGGTGCATGCATGGCAGACACCGAATGGCGTTTCCAGGGACAAGGTCCATCAGATCACACTCTCCTGGTCGTTGTCTTCGCCGTCTCTTCTGTGGTCATAAATGCCTATTGGCAGTTTCTGTATGAGGCTGAGTCTTCGAGCTCTCCTGACTTTTTCCCCCGAGATGTGGGATCGGAGGCAATTCCCCATCTCTGGGCTGGACGTGTGGTCTATGCACTGTTCTGCAGTTCACCTCCTGCCCTTCTACCTGGATTCCAGAGAAACAACAATTTTATTTTATTTTTTTAAAAATATATTTTATTGATTTTTTTACAGAGAGGAAGGGAGAGAGATAGAGAGTTAGAAACATCGATGAGAGAGAAACATCGATCAGCTGCCTCCTGCACACCCCCTACTGGGGATGTGCCCGCAACCCAGGTACATGCCCTTGACCGGAATCGAACCTGGGACCTTTCAGTCTGCAGGCCGACGCTCTATCCACTGAGCCAAAACGGTTTCAGCAAGAAACAACAATTAAACGTGACTTCTGCTTGCAGATGTATGTAATGTAAGTAGGCCTTATGGATCCTCAGGAAAGCCCTGCTGGTTTGGTTTTTACAAATTTAACAGACGTGATCAGGCTTTCAGAAAGCCTTAGTAACATGGCTCAAAGATGGCACAGCTAGAATTTTAATTTGGGTTTAAGTTGTTTTTGAAACTCAAATTTCTAAACATGACCATACTATCTTGAGGGTTACACATCACACCTAGGTTTTACCAGAAATTGTCTACTCTCAGGTCAGTAACCAGAGACCCCTTTCTGTAACTACAGCCTTCTCGACTTTCAGCTGGTACATGCACCGGTCCACATGCCCAGATGCCCCTACCACCTGGGAATCTAGTCCATCAGTTTCCCGAACCCAACAGTCCTCATATTTTACTGACTATTCAATCCACATCCACTCACTGCAATGCATAGGAAGTGGGACCTAGCCTCCTCATGGCCATTCTGACCAATGTACCACATCGATGTGCCAGTGACCCCAGATCATTCTCAATTCAGGGGCTGTGCCTGACAGAGCTCATGACTAGGGTATTGATCCTGGTCAAAGCAGACTCGCCTCCAGAGCCTTTCCAGTGCATCCGTCCTATACTGTACTTAATTTCAAGCCTTCCCCGGGACTTGCTGAGCACACATGCCCCCTACTGTGGCTTTCTTATACAGATGGGGTTGCCTCCTACTACACAGACGAATTAGATCCTTTGAGGAATGCCTCAGCTCCCTGCCAGCAAGTTGACAACCATCCCTGCATTGGTAACCTCCCACCACTTTTGAAAGAAGAAACTTTCTACTAGACGTGTTCAACCTCCCTTTCCTTTCTTGGAAACTGTTGTCAGTTACATATGTTCAAAATCTGGTTTACCAGCCACCTCTCCTACTTTTTCTAGTCATTCTTATTACTAGAGGCCCAATGCATGAAATTCGTGCAAGAGCAGGCCTTCCATCCCCCGGCTGCCGGCACTGACTTCCCTCTGGCACCTGGAACCTGGGCTTCCCTCCCTCTGGCCGTCAGCAGGCACTCAGGACCTGGGCTTCCCTTGCAGCCCCGGCCTCGTCCAGAGGGGGAAGGGCGTCTGTTCTAATTAGCATATTACTCTTTTATGATTATAGATTGTCTCTTCCATTTTCACTTATTTTTCTCGGTAGTTTATGCTTCAGCTTGCCATCAAATGAAAGCTGAAAAGGCAGTTCCTGTTTTCTCACATGCCCTCACTCTGACTTGCTGAGGTGACCAGTTATCTCAGCATGAATACATCTTGTTAATACCACCAAGTTCTTCCCATAAAGCACCTAAGGCATATGTCTCTGTCTTCTGCTTGGAACCAGAGTTGGACTATGAGCTCCCCTGGGACCTCTGTTTCTCTGCAACATCTCAGCTCCTGCTTGACGTCCATGTATTTTGGCCACGACTCAGTGTCCATTGCCAAGAACAGCTCAAACAAACACCATGGGGACGGCTCACGAATCTCTCCTGGCGCCTCTTCTCCTTTTTAGGAGCATTGTCCTGGCACCCCTGGAGGGGCTCAGTGGCTGAGCGACGACCTATGAACCAGATCACGGTTGATTCCTGGTCAGCCCACATGCCCAGGCTGCAGGCTCAATCTCTGGTGGGGGCGTGCAGGAGGCAAACAATCATCCTTTGCTCCTGTCTCTACACAGAGCTCTTTGACCCACCCATTCAGTCTCCATATCCACTTGTCTTCAGCTCCTCACCGAATCCTCACTGATGAGGTTTGGTTTCCTCTTCCCTCTCTGGATGCCACTTCAAGAACTTGTCACTCTCCACATTTTCCTGTTTTATTTAGACATTTCCTGTCTCCTGCACTGGCCTCACTGGAGAAAGTCATGCCAAGAATTTAAGGTTAAGCACCCTTCCCTCTGTCTATTCCGTTAGTTACAGTGTCGGAGAAACTCCAAGTTCACAACCACCTAACCTTCCCAACTATCAATCGCCTGAAATCAGCCTAAACACTCACGTTCCAATGGCAACACAGTGACAGGGTGACTGAAGACTGGCTCTCCTGGGAAAAGCCTTCGGTACCTACCAGAACCCAAGGGATGGAAAAGACAAGCCGATTCTTTACGAAGGTGCCGTCTCCACACCTGGGAGCTTGGAGCTGCTTCCCTCCACACACTGACCCTCAGTCTGATCCCAGCACTCTTTTTTTATTATTATTAAATATATTTTATTGATTTCTTACAGAGAGGAAGGGAGAGGGATAGAGAGTTAGAAACATCGATGAGAGAGAAACATCGATCAGCTGCCTCCTGCACACTCCCTATTGGGTATGTGCCTGCAACCAAGGTCCATGCCCTTGATCGGAATCGAACCTGGGACCCTTGAGTCCACAGGCTGATGCTCTATCCACTGAGCCAAACAGGTTAGGGCTGATCCCAGCACTCTTTATAGGCAGCTGATAATCCCATCAATAATATGACGGCATCAACCACATAACCTCATAAGGCATGTAATCTCTGCAGTCACGTCATCTCAATCGCATAATCCAAGAACCCACCTGAATGGCATGGACACCCTCAAGGTAAATCTAATCCATCCTGCCTCTTTAACATATTTTCCACCTAACCTGACAAATCAGGTAGACACAATTCAGGAAAACTGGCGTTTCCGTTCATCGTCCCCTCCTAAAACTCTCAAAGGCAGGGTTGGTGTCTGCCCAGAGCCTTGGGACTTTGCAGATTAGGGTGGCTCGGATTAGGGTGGCTCCTGGGCAGGGCTACAGAGAAGCACAGCAAGAGGATCCACCCTTTTCCTTTCTAAGAGGCCGTACCTGTAAGAGACCCTAGGACAGTGGTTCTCAACCTTCTGGCCCTTTAAATACAGTTCCTCACGTTGTGACCCAACCATAAAATTATTTTTGTTTCTACTTCATAACTGTCATGTTGCTACTGATATGAATCATAATGTAAATATCTAATATGCAGGATGGTCTTAGGCGACCCCTGTGAAAGGGTCGTTCGACCACCAAAGGGGTCTCGAACCACAGGTTGAGAACCGCTGCCTTAGGAAGACGTGGAGAACTAGGGAACCTCATCTGTTTTCTAATTGCATCCACGTGACTTACCTACTTAGGGCCGTGCTCGGCAAACTGTGGCTCTCGAGCCACATGGGGCTCTTTGGCCCCTTGAGTGTGGCTCTTCCACAAAATACCACGTGTGGGCGCGCATATACAGTGCAATTGAAACTTCATGGTCCATGCACAGAAGTTGGTATTTTGCAGAACAGGGGGAGTTTTGCCCTTCTGGGCCGAAGCCAAGAGGACTGTCTGTCTCTGTCCCAATTTCTTTTTCTTATTCTGACAACTCTTTAACCACCTTGGTTTTTCAGCCAAAATATCGACCCACACTTGAATATAGGGAATTTGGTCAGGGTGACCCAGCCGGCCATAGACAATATGGTGAACCCGAAAAGCGGTGGTTAAATCAAAAGTCCCTACGTCCGGCCATCCCACCTGGAAAGTGGGCCACTCCTGTTCACAGAATCTCTGCAAATCAAAAGCATTAAGATCATATCCGTAGTTTCCTGCTCTCTTCTTGAAGTCCTGAAAATTCTTAAGAAAACATTGCAGCGGGGAGCACACAGAAGCAGACGATGACTGCCCCATTTTGACAAACACCAAGACAACAAACACTAAGACAAACACCAGACAGACAAATTCAGTGCAGCCTAAAGCCGCATCTTCCAGGGACCCCGGCCACCGTCGTAACACATTGCTTTTCTAGCGAGATAATTAGCAATTTTTCTCTCCCATGGTCCCTGCCCCTCAGCCCACTCAGTAATTCTTCTTTGCCAGGCCCCTGCCCCTAGCACAGTCAGGGCACATGCTCAGGGTGCAGGCTAGATCCCCGATAGGGGGTGTGCAGGAGGCAGCCGATCAAGGATTCTCTCATCATTGATGTTTTTATCTCTCTCTCTCCCTTCCTCTCTGAAATCAATAAAAATATATTCAAAAATATGCTTCCTGCAGTGTGTTCTAAATACAAAACCACATTTGATAAAGAAAAGTACTAAGATCAGATACCAACCTCTGCTCACCATGCACCAAGCACTGCTTTAAATATTTGCATGGTGAGGACATGAGGCCAGACGGGATAAGGCGACCGTGCGTTCACAGGGCTCGTGGGCAGGCTTTCCGGACCCAGCCTCAGCGGTCCTGCTTCCAGCTGGACTCGGCCCACTGTGACCCGCACCTGCAGCCTGACGGGGGTTCCTTCTCCTCGGGGAGATGGCCACCTTCTAGAAAGATCTGAACAATACCCTGAATTGCTTGTAAGTGCACAGCCCTTGCGCCTCAAACTACGTATAAAAAATAAACCTGTGCACAGGTCTGAAAGCGAATCTCGGGTCGCACGCGCTGCTCGTGGGTTTCGGGGCTTGGGGTGGGAACCGACAAGGTGGGGAGCCCTCTGGCCGCAGTCCCGGCGCCACCGGGATCAGGTGCTGCTGCTGCGAACACCGCGGGCCCTGCTCCGCTTCCCCTCGCGGTGCCCCGCGCTGGCTGGGCGGGAGGAGGGAGGAGGCCCCGGCGCGGGTTCGGCCTCTCCGCTCGGTGCAAGGACTACACTGCGGGGAGAGCGGGAGGATGCCCCACTGCGCATGCCCGCGCATTAGCCTCCCGACCCGGGTAGCAACACGGTCACGCGGCCCGCCTCGGCCAATCAGGATTGAGGGCGGGGCTTTCCGCAGCGACTTCCGGCAATAAACCCGGACGCGCCGCCGCCGTCAGGTGGGGTCCGCGGTGGCCGCGCTGCAGGTGGGAGCGGGGACACTCGGCGCGCAGGTAGGGACGGGGTGCGGCCGCCCGGAGCCCGCTGGCTTCGGGGGCCGGCCTGGCGGTGCCGGGAGAC